AAGCCCCTGGAAAACCAATGGTGTAGGTCCAAGAGTCCAAAAGCTTTAGAACTTGGAGTTCAGTGTTCAAGGGCAGGAAGCATTCAGCTTGGGAGAAAGATGGAGGCCAGAAGACTTAGCTAGCCTAGTCCTTCCATGTTCTTCTGCCTGATTTTATCCTATCTGCACTGGCAGCTGATTAGATAGTGTCCACCTAGATTGAGGGTGGGTTTGCCTCTCCTAGTCCACTGACTCAAATGTTAATATCCTTTGGGGATACCCTAACAGACACACCCAGAAACAATACTTTGCATCCTTCAATCCAATCAAGTTGACATTCAATATTAACCATCACATCCCTCATTATACCAGTCTGAATTTGTCAATATATAAAAGGAATAATTTACCACAACCAAGTGGGATTTATCTCAGGAATGAAGGCCAGTTCAATAGTTGAAAATCAATCAATACAATCTAGTCTAAAGGAGAAGAACCACATGAGCATAATCATCAATGCAGAGAAGTCTTGCCAAGTTCAACTTTCACTAATGATAAAAACACTCAACAAACTATGAGTAGATCTAGTGAGATCATTCTACAAAAAAATCCTCAAGTTAACATAATATTTAATGGTGAAAGACCAAATCCTTTCCCCCATGACTGGAAACAGGGCAAAGGTATCCATTCTGGGCACTCTTATTCAACATCATAACAGAAGTCTCATCCAGTGTAACAAAGCAAGGAAAGGAAATAAAAGGCATACAAATTGGAAGGTAAAAGTATTTCTTTTTATTTGCAGATGACGTATTGTCTATGTAGAAAATCCCAAAAAATATAGATTGGAAAAGAGGAATAGAACCAAACAACTAGATGCATGTGCAAGGTATGAACTTCAATATATGCCTCTTAGATTATAGAAAAATTAACTAAAAATGTGTCATATGTTTAAATGTAAATGCATTAAGTATGAATTAAAAACAGAAACTTTAGGCCGGGCGCGGTGGCTCAAGCCTGTAATCCCTGCACTTTGGGAGGCCGAGGCGGATGGATCACCAGGTCAAGAGATCGAGACCATCCTGGTCAACATGGTGAAACCCTGTCTCTACTAAAAATACAAAAAAAATTAGCTGGGCATGGTGGCGCGTGCCTGTAATCCCAGCTACTCAGGAGGCTGAGGCAGGAGAATTGCCTGAACCCAGGAGGCGGAGGTTGCGGTGAGCCGAGATCGCGCCATTGCACTCCAGCCTGGGTAACATGAGCGAAACTCCGTCTCTCAAAAAAAAAAAAAAAAAAAAACAGAAACTTTAAATGGAAAACATAAACAGTGTTGTAACTTCTAGAAGAAAATGTAGAAAAACTGTGTGATCTTGGCTTTGACAATGAGTGTTCAGGTATAACACCAAAGGCATGATCCATAAAAAAAAAAAAAAAAAAAAGAAAGACAAATTGGACTTTGGGAAAATTAAAAGCTTTTGTTTCGTAAATGACACCGTTAAGAGAGTGAAAAGATAAGCCACACTGGCAAAAGTGCAGATTACATATTTTATAAATGTCTTATGTCCTGGATATGTAAAACACTCGTAAAACTCAACCAATATAAAACAAACCAATTAAAATATTGTCAAAATATCTGAAGTCACTTTAACCAAAAGAGATGTATACATTGCAAATAAGTATAAATGAAAACATGTTTAATAGTGTTAGTCATTAGGGAAATTGATATTAAAGTTATAATTAATTATCAGCACAGATCTATAAGAATGGATCAAATAAAAACAATCTTATACAATTGCAAATGCTGGTGAGGACGTGGAAAAAGAGGAACTCTCATTCACTGCTGGTGGGAATGCAAAACTCTCACCAGCAGCATAATATAGTTCTGTTTACTGAACCCAGACAAATACAGAATCTTATTAGTCTTTTAAATTATCTCTGATTTGATAGGCAAAGGAAGAATTTTGTTTGTTTCCATTTGTATTTCTTCTGTTGTTAGAGTTTCTATTTGTTTACTGGCCCTTTATGTTTCCTTATTTTAAATATCCTATTCATATCTCTTGTCTATTTTACTCTTTAGTTCTAACTATGACAAGGTAAATACCTCAACCATACCTTGGCAATCTGCTGAAACTGCTCTCTGTAACCCTAATGTGACAGGCAAGCACATGGCCCCTGCGACTTGTAATAAGTAACTAAGGTCTGTAATTTCCACCCTACCCAGACAATGTGTAAACTAATGCTTATCTTGACGTCTGTGAACCACTTAAGTAACAATCGGAATGTCTGAAGCCCCTCAGCTCTCACCCCCATCCAGGAGATGGTTTACGGAATGTCCAAAGTCCACTGGCCCTCAGAATGTCTGAAGCCCCTAGCCCTCACCCCCACCCAGGAGGTGGTTTACTGGCATAAAAGGTCTTGACACCCTCCTTTCGGGGCCACGGGTTGGAGAGACGTGAGTCCTCCGTGGCCACCGGCAATAAAGACCCTGGAATTTAGCATACTTTTGTCTTGGTGTTGACTTTCTATGCTCGCTCCAGTACAACATTTGGAGGCCCCAGCAAGATTTATCGTCATCTATCACCAGACAAATGCCCATCTCAGAGTCTCGTCCCGTTGGCTGCTCCCACCTTGGGGATCTCTAGGGGAGGCACCCCCTGAAACATTCCAGGGCCCCAGAGTTCCGGCCCATCCAGAGGATGGGCAACTACCTGGCCAACATTCACCCAAAATTCCTCAGGGTCCCAGGAACCTCCGGAGGTAAGTCAGATCTGGAAATCAGGGGACCAGTCTATCAGGGGAGCCTGAGTCAGGGGACCAGACTTGGTCATTGCAACTCTGACCAGGCAAGCCTAGCGTGAGACGTCATTGGAGGCTCAGGTTGCCTCACTGGAGGCTCGGGTAATTTAGTTTTTGGTTGTTTTCCATAACCTCGGTGTGAGTGAGAGAGTGAGTGTGTACATATGTAGTCCCACGGCTGGAAGGCTATGGGGCTTGTATGGGCCTTCACCCGTGGTTCCACAGGGACATCATAAGGCATAATGGTGATTCATCTCAGGACTGAAAATTCTGAGGTGACCAGACCCGGGGTTTATACGGGTACACCTTAGCCAAGACACTCTGAAATATCCCTTCGGGAACGTGGCCAGGCAGGCATTAGACTGGTCTCCCTCAGGGGACACCCACCCTGTGTCTGTCTGTCTTTCGTGTGGTTCTGTCTTTATTGTAAGTCCTCTAGTTTCCTGAGGCAGTTACTAGCTGATACACAGTGGTTTAGACCTGTTATTCTTGAGGTGGATAATATTGTCCGTTGGCTAAGTGACCATTGACTTCAAGGAACTCTGATTGAGTTTACACCCCTGGAAATAATTCTGTTCTCTTTCCTTTTCTTCTTCTTATTCTATCATTGAGGCCTCATTCTTCCTCTTTTTCATGTCCAAGAGAGAATTCTGGCCCCGACAACTTGGGTGTAGTTTTTTCTCTGTCTTAGTGAATCAAATCTTAAATAAGAAACTACCAGCCCTCTTCACCCATTTAGGGTGAAAAGGGAGTAATTGTCTCTTCTGTCAAAAGAAAAAGAGACAGAAAGAGAGAGGAGACAGAGGAGACACACACACACACACAGAGAGATAGTACACAGAGAAGAGAGGAGAGAGGAGACAGAGACAGAGAGAGGAGAGAGAGAGAGAAAGTAGACAGAGAAGAGAGGAGAGAGGAGACAGAGACAGAAAGACAGAAGAGAGAGAAGAGAGATAAGAAAGTAGAGGAGGGGAAGAAGAGAGAGGAGACAGAGGAGAAAGAGAGAGAGAAAAAGTAACCAGAGAAGAGAGGAGAGAGGAGAAAGAGAAGAGAGAGGAGACAGAGAGAGAGAAAAGAGAGAGAGACAGATAACGGAGGGGGAGAGGAGCAAGGGACAGAGAAACCAGGGAGAAAAAGAGACAAAGAGAGAGGAGAGAAAAAGAGAGAGAGCAAGAAGAGAGAGGTAGAGAAAGAGGAGCTTAATGCTTTTTAGGGTCCCTGTGTCAAGGTGACCAAAAGCTGCAGCAGCAGGGAACTCGCAGCTGGCTCAGCGGCTGCGAGCTCAGTTTTAAAACTGATGCAAAAAGCTTTTTTTTTTCTTCTTTCTCTGCCAGCCACCAGCCCGGCCCAGCTTTCAGGCAGGCCACACTGCCTCAGGGTGCAGTATTTGCATCCAAAATACGGCTTAAGAAAGCTTTCTGACTCTCCCTGATCCAACTGACCCGTTAGCACAGTAGTTAAGGTGAAGGACCTGCCACTACAAGGTTACTGGTTCAAGCCCTTGGTGAAGCCAGTCTTAAACTGGTGGGGGATCTGTTGGGGGAAATTCAAAAGCTGAATGCCTATTTTTGTGGTTAATTTGTCTTGTTTAGGGTTGGCTCTCTCTACAGCAGAACTTTTCTATCTAAACAAACAAACAAAAAAAATCATAGTTAAACCACTTCCAGGCCCCCGAGAAAAACCAAATGGGGTTGTCTAGCTCCTGGCCTTGCACCCCCCTCCAATGCGTGACAGCCAACTTCAAGGTTGGGTTCTCAGGCCAATATGAGGTGAAATTAACCCCTGGAAAACTCTGCTCTTTATGTGAATTGGAATGATCATCTTTTGGAGTTGGGTGGCCAGATACTGGGACCTGTGACCCAAAAATTACCCAGACTGTATGGAAAATGGTCGCAGAAACTCCTAGATACCCTAACCAGTTTCCATACATCGACCAATGGTTGGATTTAGTCCAACAATCCCCCCAACCCCGCCCCGTGGCTGAAGTCCTGCATAAAACAGTCTGGACTTCAGGTCATGTTAGCAGGCCCATAGAAGGTTCCTACAGCGCCAGCCATTCTCCCCACCCCAGAAGAGGATCTAGAATTACCTCCACCCTACTCAAGGCCCTCTGAACCAGGGCCTCAGCATCCCCCCAGAGAGTACCAGTAATCAACCCTTGTCCCCCCTGCACACCCACACTCCCCCAACGGGGTAGAAGACAATTGGGGTAGCCCATTCTCTGTTCACATCCCCTTCTTGTCAAGTGACTTATATGACTAGAAGGTGATAGAAATTAAAGAGAGGGCCGAAACACGAAGTGCCGGAACAAGCTTTATTAAGAGCAAGAGAAAAGCTGCCAGGCTGCACCCAAAATTGGTGTGCAGGACCCGTGGCGTGGCAAAAGGGATTTTTATGGCCTGTGAGCTGGCAGATGTATCCAATGTGAGGGGCTGTGTAGGAGGGGAGAGGCTGGGAACTGCTGAGTTTAATAGTTCCCGGGGAAGGGGTCGTGCCAGGGAACTGCTGAGAGATTTCCCGGGAGGGGGTCATGCTGGGGAACTGCTAAGATGGCGACAGGTGTAGGTTTAGGAACTTGCTGAGATGGAAAGTTCCCCGGGAGGGGGTTGTGCTGGGAGGCTGGGGAACTTGAGGCGGCAGCAGGGTTTTAAAATGGAGTAAGTTCTGTCAGAAGGCTCAACATCCCCCGTTCTCTGAGAAGCCCCAGGCTTTGACGGGGCTCTTGGAATCTGTACTCCAGACTCATTTCCCCACTTGGGACAACTGCCAACAATTATTACTGATTCTGTTCACCACAGAGGCAAGAGGCAAAATTAGACAGGAAGCCCTGAAAGGCATCATAGGTCCAGGGGGAGGAACAGTAAAAGAGAACCAGGGCCGAATTGAAGAAGTTTTTCCCTCTACTCGACCCCAATGGGACCCCAACACCTCGGGGGTTCACCAGGCTCTGAACACTTTTCACCGGTATCTCTTAGCAGGGGTTAAGAGGGCGGCTAGGAGACCCATCAACCTCTCCAAGGTAGAAACAGTAACTCAGGGTCTGCAGGAGTCGCTGGCTGCTTTCCTGGAATGCCTACAGGAGGCGTAGCGTACCTATACTCCTATAGACCCTGAGGCCCCGGAAAATCAACGGGCCATTAACTTGGCCTTTGTCTCCCAGTCAGCCCCAGATTATCAGGAAAATGTTACTAAGGCAGTAATAGCAGCCCTTCAGAAGACAAGAGTCATTCCACGAGGGCAGGGGGCCTTGCAAAAGGGCCCCTGGGGTCCCTGGCCCCCGTTAGGAAAAAAAAACAATGTGCATACTGTAAAGAAAAGAAACATTAGGGAAAAAAAATGAGTGCCCCGAGAGAAAAAGACGAGTAACTGCTCAGGAAAAGCCACCTAGCCTCAATTTAAAAAATCAGGATTAGGCTGGGAGCGGTGGCTCACGCCTGTAACCCCAGCACTTTGGAAGGCCGAGGCGGGTGGATCACAAGGTCAAGAGATCGAGACCATCCTGGTCAACATGGTGAAACCCCGTCTCTACTAAAAACTACAAAAAAATTAGCTGGGCATGGTGGCGCGTGCCTGTAGTCCCAGCTACTCAGGAGGCTGAGGCAGGAGAATTGCCTGAACCCAGGAGGCGGAGGTTGTGGTGAGCCGAGATCACGCCATTGCACTCCAGCCTGGGTAACAAGAGCGAAACTCCGTCTCAAAAAAAAAAAAAAAAAAAAAAAAAAAAAGTCAGGATTGACGGGGGCCGGGGCTCTTATTTGTTAAGCCACCAAGAGCCCAGGGTTACTTTAAAGATTGGGAACAAACCTATCAGTTTTTTAGTAAACAGCGGGGCAGCCCACTCAGTCCTTACTCAGCCTCTGGGACCACTATCCAGTAGGAAAACAGTCTTCCAGGGGGCCACAGAAAAGACCACGACCAGTTCATAGACCACAAATCAAGTCATTAACTTAGAAAATGGCACCGTTATCTATTCCTTCTTAGTTCTGCCAGAATGCCCTTACCCGCTATTAGGGCGGGACCTAGTTCACAAACTTCAAGCAACCATCTCCTTCTGCGAAAAATCAGGCCTGCCTCTCTAACCCCCTTTTTGCCCGCTGTATCAAAACCACCTCAGCAAATCCTCATCACCTGTGTTTTGTCAGATGAGTATCTTTTGCAGGAAGCTTTATCCTCAGAGACAGATCAACCACCAACATCAGACCTCCTCCACCAGTTCCAAGAAAATGTACTGGGAGTATGGGCTGAAACGAATTCCCCAGGCTTGGCAAGTCACCGTACCCCAGTTGTGGTCTAGCTATTGGCAATGGCAACTCCAGTCCAGGTACGACAATATCCCATAAGCCAGGAAGCCAGACGGGGAATTGCTCCACATAAAGCCAGACTCCTAAAAGGAGGGACCCTTACTACCTGTAAGTCCCCCTGGAATACGCCCTTACTCCCCACCTTAAAACCAGCACAAAGGACTATCGGCCTGTACAGGACTTAAGGGAGGTTAACAAATGAGTGGAAACTGTCCACCCTACGGTTCCAAATCCATACACCCTCCTAAGTCTCTTCAGCCCAAGAACACCACCATTACACTGTCTTGGATCTCAAGGATGCATTCTTTTGCATCCCACTGGCCCCTGTTACCCAGCCCATATTTGCTTTTGAATAGACTGACCCTGATACTGGAGTTTCGGGGCAACTCACTTGGACAAGACTGACTCAGAGGTTCAAAAACTCCCCCACTCTGTTTGATGAGGCACTTAGCCAAGATCTTACCACCTTCCGAGCTGAGTTCCCCAAGTGTGCCCTACTCCAATATGTAGATAACTTACTTTTGGCTACAAAAACCCAGGAGGCCTGTAAAGAGACCACCCAGTCATTACTAAAAACCCTACAGACTTTGGGGTACTGGGTCTCAACTAAAAAAACCCAACTCTGCCAACAGAAGGTTACTAACCAGAGCCATATCATAGAGAAGGGCAACAAGGCACTGGCGCCCAGCCAAGCCCAAGCAGTGCTGCAAATAACGACCCCTACCACAAAACGCCAGGTTCAAAAATTCCTTGGGGCAGTGGGATATTGCAGGCCGTGGATTCTAGGATTTGCCGAAATAGCCAAGCCTCTGTATGCCTGTACTGGAGGAAATCAGCCCCTGGCTTGGGCAGAAGTAAAACAACGGGCTTTTAACAAACTTAAGACTGCCCTAACCATGGCCCCAGCCTTGGCTTTGCCAGACATCTCTAAACTCTTCCGATTGTTTGTACATAAAAAACAGGGAGTCGCCAAGGGGGTGCTCACCCAGACATTAGGGCCATGGTCCCGGCCAGTCACTTACCTTTCACAACGACTTAACCTCGTAGCCTCTGGGTGGCCAGCTTGCCTGAGGTCAGTAGCAGCTACAACCCTGTTAGTCAAAGAGGCAGACAAACTAACCTTAGGGCAGAAGTTAAACTTAGTAATACCCCACGTGGTGAAGTCACTACTCCGTGGAGCTCCAGGAAAATGAATGTCAAATGCTCACATAGTTCAATATCAGGACTTACTTTTGGACCAGCCCTGCATCAAGTTTTTAAAGGCTACAGTTTTAAACCCTACCACGCTGCTACCTGATAGCGAGCCAGAGAAGCCCATACATGATTTCCAGCAAATAATGGACGTCATACACACTGCTCGATGAGACCTCACCGATGTCCCCCTGCAGAATCCGGAAGAGGTACTGTATACTGATGGCAGCAGCTTTATGGTCAATGGAGTCAGGTATGCCAGGGCAGCCATGGTCACTCTCAATAGGTTATTTGGGCCCAGGCCCTTCCTCATGGAACCTCGGCCCAGAAGGCAGAACTCATAGCTCTGACAAGGGCCTTAGACTGGGCGGAGGGAAAGACTGTCAACATTTATATGGACAGTCAATATGCCTTTGCTACAGCTCATATACATGGAGCCATTTATAAAGAAAGAGGGCTACTTTTGATGGAAAACCGTCAAAAATAAAGAAGAAATCCTAGCTGTACTAGAGGCTATATGGAAGCCCAAGGCAGTGGCATTAATACACTGCAAAGAACACCAGAAGGGAGATTCACCAGAGGCGAGGGGAAATAGGGCGGCTGACCTACAAACCAGACAGGCAGCCTCGGGACCAGTAAAACCTCTGACTCTTCTTGTAACTCTGCCGGCCCCAACCCTGCCCCCTACCCCTACGTACTCACATGATGAAAAAAACTTTGCTAAAGAACAAGGGGGCACACAAGATTCCACAGGATGGTGGATTCTACCAGACACAAGGATTGTGGTCCCCAAGGCTCTAGGATGGGCTCTAGTTAAGGACACACACCAGGCCACTCACTTAGGACAGACCAAACTAACTAAGCTGCTAAAAGCCAAGACTACATTCCCCACTTATGTGAACTTATCAAGAAAATCACTACTCGGTGTGATGTATGTGCCCGAGTAAATCTGGGAGGGAACAGGTCTAGCCAGGTAACAGTGAGACTCAGAGGGACTAGCCCTGGGGAGCACTGGGAAGTAGATTTCACTGAAATAAAACCCCCAGCAAATGGCTGTAAATACGTCCTGGTATTTATAGACGTTCTCTGGATGGGTCGAAGCCTTCCCCACTAGGTCAGAGACTGCTTTGGTGGTCACAAAAAAACGATTACAGGACCTTGTTCCTTGGTTTGGCCTCCCTCTAACACTGGTGTCAGACAATGGGCCCACCTTTACTGCACAAATTTCTCAGGGCCTAGCCAAGGCCCTGGGTATATCCTGGAAATTACACTGTGCCTATCGTCCCCAGAGTTCAGGACAAGTCGAACGAATGAACCGGACCCTAAAAGAAACCCTGACAAGGTTTATCTTAGAAACTGGTGAAAACTGGGTAAGCCTGCTTCCTTTTGTCCTCCTCCGCGTCCGATGCACACCCTGTCAGAAAGGCTTCTCCCCTTTTGAAATCATGTTCAGCAGGCCCCCCCCTTACTCCCCAGACCCTCGGATACCATGCATGCTGAAGTCCATAACTATACACTCCTAAGTCCTTATAGGCGCTCCAGTCTGTTCAATCCCCGGTACACCAGCTCATTAAGGAACCTCACAGACCAGCTGACACACCCCTTCCAGCCTGGAGACTCTGTCCCTGTTAAAAGATTCGCCATCTCCGGCCTCACCCCCCTGTTGAAAGGGACCCTACACAGTTATCCTGACCACACCCACCACACTCAAGGTAGACGGACTAATGGCCTGGATTCATCACCCTCACGTCAAGACTGCCCCACTGGAAGGACAATGGAGTATCAAACACTCATCCCCTGATACACTAAAGCTAAGATTTGTGCGCTCTTCACAGTCACCACCCTCGCCACCCTAATCCGTGCTGTAAATCCCTATAGCAAACCCCTCTTAGAACAAACAAACAATACTAACCTACTGAATAAATTAATGATTTAATTCCTGTAAATAAAACAAGGAGTGAATGTGACATGGTAAATACCTCAACCATATCTTGGCTTTCTGCTGAAACTGCTCTCTGTAACCCTAATGTGACAGGCAATCAGTCCAAACCCATGCCATCTTGGCCACTGTGACTTGTAATAAGTAACTAAGGTCTGTAATTTCCACCCTACCCAGACAATGTGTAAGCTAACGTTTATCTTGACTTCTGTAAACCACTTAAGTAACAATTGGAATGTCCGAAGCCCCTCACCCCCACCCCCCACCCCTCACTCTCACCCCCTCCCAGGAGGTGGTTTACTGGCATAAAAGGTCTTGACACTCTCCTTTCAGGACCACGGGTTGGAGAGACGAGAGTCCTCCGTGGTCGCTGGCAATAAAGACCTTGCTATTTGGCATACTTTTGTCTTGGTGTTGACTTTCTATGGTCACTCC